ACAAACACATGTAAATCAGGACAAAAATATTTTTTGAAATCAAATTAATGAATGTTGTAGATGATCACTTTTTAGAATATAATTTGGTGTTTTTCTGGTTCTGAGGTGGTAAATCCCCTTGCTGAAAGGAGTACTGCCGGGGGCAAGGGGAGGGACCTTTGGTGGCAAAGTTTAGGGGGTGGGACTTCTGGTCACAAGATGGCGACCAGGGGGCAGGTCTACCCACATGGCCCTTGACAGCTTGCCAAAACTCAGTAAGCAGCCCTCCATTCAAAATAATTGCCCATCCCTGGCCTATAACTTTGTCATTTTTTGGCAGATTTGGATGAAAGCATCAGGGATGGTATACCCTTCTGAGTGCTTGAAGCCTGCTAAGTTTCAAGGAGAATAGGTGTAGGGGTTTCTGGGAAACTGCACCTCCAGCTGCTGACAAGCAAAACTTGTGACGTGTGGCTTTGTCTGACTCGGCGTGCGTGCGTGCGTGCGTGCGTGCGTGTGTGTGTGTGTTAAGGCACGCCCTCACTGGTGCTGGGCATGGTAGTGTGTCTCAGTGAGGCCGCCTCCTCTCCTACACCCTCAGCCTGGTCCACCACTTTAAATGACAACAGGTAATAACTTAGTAAACAGCACAGTAGCATCAGCAGCATCTCAGGCAGCCAAACAGTCATAGTCAATATCAGAGCAGTCCTTCCCCACCCTCATCTTCCTTCCTCTCCTCACTTTCTGTTTCCCTGCAGGCACATCCAGCTTCAGCTTCGAAACTCAGAATGTTTCAAAATCTTTTTGAAACATTTCGAGTGCCCTTATTTCTTTTCAAGGCCATTTTAAAGCCCTTCATTTAATTTCAATTTAACTGTTTCAAGCTCAAAATGAGTTGAAATGAAACAGCTGGTGACATTTCACATAGCCCTAATAGATACACTGAAGATGAAGAAAAACCAGAGAAGCTGTTAGAGCTGCATCATCTGTATCTCTATCCCTTTTCCTCCAGACCTCAGGCCAAAGTCCAGGAGAGGTGTGGCTCAGTGTCTCATTTTAGGTTCATGTTTGTGCTCACCTTAGATGCAGAGGACTACCTACAGAAACTCCGAAGACTAGCTTTGTAGACTTGCCTTGAGCTAAAAGATTGGCCATTCTTAATATATATTCTTAGTTATCATCAGGCATCCTGGTTTTCCATGATAAAAAGTAGCAAATTCTCTGATAAACCCCCCAAAATCTGTGACTGAAATTAAAGGCCCCCCACATCCCTGCTCGTGCCCGTTGCCTCCCACCCACAGCCCCTGCCCCTTTGCCCTGCCGGAGGGGGGCCCAAGTTGCTAGGGCTTTGGGGCCAGGGACCCAGGTCCACAGCTCCCTGCCCCCAACAGAAGGTAGCTGCAACAGGAGCATGGAGCCGGCTCCCCCACTGCTGCCTGCCTACTGTCGGCTCTGGCAGGGATGGGGCTGGCTCCTGGTGGCTGCACACACTCCTGGAGGGCAAGGTGGACCCATGGTCCCCAGATCTGGGGGGTGGGGGCAGGCTGTGGGCTCGAGCTTCTGCCCTGCTTCCCTCCCGCGGGGCTGCTGTAGCCCCCCCAGACACGACCCGGCATGGCAAGGAACAGTGGGGCCATGCCAGATCTCCTCGCCCCCCACAGTCCTAGCAATGCACATCCTGCACTTGCCGCCACTTTGAGTGGTGGAGCCCTGCACTGCTTCCCTCAGTGCAGCCCCATATACAGAAGTCATGTTGTTGGGGCAGCATGGAGCAAGCAACTGCTAGGGGATCCCCACGTGGTTCCTCTGTCCCCAGCTGTGCCAGGTTGCAGGCAGGGGAGCAAGACGGCAATCTGCTGCCAGCTGGGCTGTGGGGAGCCTTTAATGGCAATCTGCCTCCCTGCTCCCTTCCCCACAACCTGGCATGGCTGGGAACAGAGGAGCCATGTGGGGATCTCCTAGCAGCTGCTCACTTTGCACTGCCCCGGGGACGCGCCGCTTGTACGTGGGGCTGCACTGAGGGAAGCGGCACAGGGCTCCACTACTCAAAGTGGTGGCAGGCGCAAGGGCTTCGTTGCAGGATCCTGGTGTGGCCCCCTGTGTTCCCAGCTGCACCAGGTAACATCTGCAGGGCTACGGTGGCCCTGTGAGAGAGAAGCGGGGTGGCAGCTCAAGCCCACACCTGTCCCCCGCACAGATCTGGGGGTGCAGGTTCCCTCTACCCCCTGAGAGTGAACAACACGGAGTGCCTGGCCGGCTCCACATCTCCCCGATCCCAGCCAGCATCTCCATGTGCAGCTTCCCTTAAGGGCTGCTAGAGCCGCTTCAGTTTTATGTGCCCCCGGCCAGGCAGTCCAGCTGCGAGCAGAGAGATTTGGACCCAGCCAGGCACTCCATGCATTTCCCTAACACCTTCCTGCTCACAGCCAGAGTGCCTGGCCAGGGACATGTGAAACCAAAGCGGTTCTAGCAGCCCTTGAGGGAAGCTGCACATGGAGGTGCCGGGTGGGCACTCCATGTATTTCCCCAACACCTCCCTGCTCCCTCAGTCCTCAGCCAGCTTCCACCCCCGCCCTGCCCTGCAAACCCCCAACCCCCAACAAGCCCCACTTACCAGTTCACAGGCTCCAGGAGGAAAGTGAGCCTGACCTAAGCCTTGCAATTGCCTAAAGGTTGCAGGCCCCTCCTCTGGGCAGGGTTGGGACTTTTCCACCCTTTTTACAAATGGCTCTTGCAGGCTGGAAAACCATCGGTTTCTCTGTTAAAAGAGAAAATCTGCATTTTCTCTGATAAAACCAGGAAATGCATGGTTTTCTCCATTTTTCTGTGGGAAACTGAAAACCTGAATCCCTGGTTATCATATTCCACAGCCCTGGATTAATATTAAAGTATCTGCTGTCTGCTTTACTCATTTCCGTCAAGAGTACCAGCAAGTGTCTCACCTTCTTGCCAATGCAGTCCTTGGCTGAGTGAAGCTTGTATGGAGAGGTTTTCAAGAATACTTGTTAAATCCTGCCTCTTTCTTCCCTTGGTTGTATGCCCACAAGAGCTTTGAGAGCGCCTTGGTTTTGATAACTGCTTATTTCTATTTCATTGCAGGAAAATGGGCCTTACTATTCTTCTTACCCCTCATCCCCTGACCTGTGATCTACAGTCCTACAATACTGCTGGTTTCCCATGGATCCAATGACCTGATGCCTGCCAGTACCATGTGTATTTGTCCATGTACAGAATTCAGAGAGAGGTTTTTCTCCCCAGCTCTGGTATTTTTTTACTGATGAGATATTTTCAAGCACTTGAGCAATCAGAGAACTTTATGCCACTGTGAACTGTACAACTAATTCAGATGTATTGCTCTGGAAAAGTTGATTTCAGAATCACTAGGTGGATTTTATTTTCTTTTTTTGAGGTTGTTAACTTTTACTCCTGAATAGACTTTTTCTGGGAAATCCATCAGAGACACTTGATCCCATTTTTACCTGGTACTGAGAGTCTTCAACTCAGTTACAGGATTCTGTTTTAGACTGGTCTGTAAAAAGGATGTAGCCTGACACTGCTGTTCACCATATGGTCTTGTACTTCAAATCCTATTATTTTTTCCCTTCTGTCAGTCCTGATGACCCTGCAAAAGTATCTGGAATTGTCACTATCACTGCTGCAGGCTGAACAGGGCAGTACTGCCAATCAAAGGCTGTGGCAGCAACATTTAGTACTGTAAATGCTGTGTGAGCTACCAACCTATTGCAGTCCCTGTCTGTTGTTCCTGGACATTCTGACAGGTTAGGATGCCACTACTCTCCCAATAAGAATAAAGTTGAAAAACATCTCCAGTTTTTCTTCTGTAATTCTTGGTATTTGCTTTCTCCCCCTCTCTCTCCTCCCTCTCTCCTTGGTACTGTAGCCAGTACCCTAATTATTCTCCTATGAATTGGAAAGAAGATTTAGTGATGCAGCTCTTATTTTCTTGAAAAGAGGTATAGAGGTTCAGAATCACCTCAACAAGTTCATGCCTCTTAGGTATGGAATGGAACCTAACTACCTGTTTCAAGGGTGGGAAGAACACTTTGGACA